TTTGATCAAATTCTTACACCTTTTTAACTTATTATGTAAAGTGATGTTTTTACCAAAATATTTATAGTCTATGCGTTCCTAATTCATTTTATTTGAGAATATGTTCTTTTAATACTATACAAGGGTTAAATTATTTAATGTAAACTTACCTTGGACGTTTTTATAAAGTATCTATCCGTGTTTAGGTAATTCGAAATGCGAAAACCAATAGTATAACTTCTTTAATTGATTTTCAAAAATCACTTTGTGATAGAAAAAAACTTCGTACATTACCATTATGGATAAGAAAATCCGCAAAGGTTTTATTTTAGGTAACTAGATCATGTTTCTAAATATCCAGTATTGTTTTTGATTTCCGACGGGGTAATAATGGCAGACGGAGAAGTGTCCATGAATCAATCACGCAAGGCACCAAATCCACGGCCGACGAATAAATACTGTAAGTGGCGTTTGAACAAAGTTTTAATCATTTCTTGATAAACTTGATCAACTTACAATCGTTTTTGGACTGTATTTATTTATTAATTCTCGTCGTATGTAATTTCGAATTATTTTACTCTAAGGTACAGGGAAAATGCAGGTAGGTACAACATTTTATTTAAACACGGAAAGCGAGTGCCCTATTTCTTTTCATTTATAATTGTACTAACTGTATTGTCATTCATCGGGTATCGATGCATTGTAATGCGCAAATCATCAAAGGAAATTCACAACCGATATTAAGCTGACACATATGCTTGCGTTGTCATGTTGGATAATAAAATGCTGTTGGGAAATTGTCAAAGGTAAAATGAAAAATCTGTTTCGAAAAAGTTCTAAAAAAAAAAGTTCAAGAAAATGATTATTTTCTCTTTATATGAACGCGTTCGTAATAATACAACGTTCAAATTTCTAACCAAATTGTATTTCTTCAAAAGCTAATAGAAAATAGGAGAAAAACAAACGTCTGCAACATCAGAAATCTAGGGATGTGCAAATACGAGCGCGAGTAAAAACGATGTGCGATTTTAAGTCATCCGTATTTTATTTCGTACACGGCTCTGTTTCACGTTGTCCAAAATCCAAAAGGACACACGGACACGCACTACCCCGAATATTACGCCCATAAGCTACTGGAGCCGGTGCATAATCTCATCAAATTCATTATTATACACTCTTAGGCGTGCGAAGAGTCAGGTATAGCTAAATTCAATCACTAGGGAACGGATTTTATTGTAATAAAAAAATCAATATATGTACCAATTTTTCTTAAAATATGGAATAAAAAATCCAAAATATGTAAATATTGAAAAAATATATTAGTATTAAAAATTACAAAAAAAATATTTTATTTAAAAAAATGAATTAGTATTATATATATATATATAAATTAAGTAAAAGTAATACAAATGATGTATGTATATAAAACAACGAGTACTCGTATTATTCTGGAATAAAGTAATGAGCATCAACATATTGTTGAAGGTTTGCAAATAACAAATTTCAACGGTTTGGTTGAAGAATACTCTTGTATTGACTAAAAGATCGTTCCACGTCAACTGATGTGATAGGGGCGTAATTCATATTAGCTAAATCAGAAGTAAATTCAATGTCAAGAAGATCTTTGTTGATTTTTTCCTATTAAAATATCTCTGATGATTTTAATATTTTGAAATCCAGAATTTTTTTCAATTATATTGGCAAATTTCTTTTTGACTATTTCTTCCATGTGCTGTTGAGTTTTTTTTAGTTTGCAGATTTTTCTTCTATGCTAATACTTTCTATCAAAGACATGTTTTTAGTTTTAATTGTTTAATTGTTTGAATCAAAAAACAAAAATTTGCAGAAATATATGTCAAGTTGTTTTTTAAATTGATATATTGCATCAGTAAATATGCTTTTTCATTAGCTGTGGCTGATTCAGTATCGAAATTTGAAACAACATTTTTTTATTTTGTTAAAATGATCGCAATAATATTGGACGGCTTCAAGCCACGTACTCCATCTTGTTATGATAGGTTCAGGAGGTAAATTAAGATCTGGATACATTTCTTTAAATTTGGAAACACGACTTGGTGCTTTTAAGAATATTTTTTTAATGATCCCTATTAACTGATCAACTTCGGCATGATTACATTTTATTGTTTCTGAAACGTGACGAAAACCATGCGCTAAACATGTTAAATGAACCGTTTGAACGGTACCATAACCAAATTAAATATGTTAGCCATAACCATAACCAAATGTTATATATAACCAAATGAAAGTTTAGGAAAAAAATGCTGTTAAAATACTACCGGATTTAACCATATAAGGAGCAGCATCGGTCAAAAATAAAAGTACATTTTCATATTTTACACCATTTGGCCATAATAAGTTCATAGAATCATTAAACAATTTAGCAATGATTTTATGATTGCATTTTTCTAATTGCACACAATTTAAAAGAAATGATTTAGTAGACTCAGAACATAGTTTGTCGACGATTACATAACCACTATACGTCTTTTTGGATGGGGGGAATCATCTCATGCATTTGCCATAGTCCAGAGTTTAGCTATTCCAAAGTCAGCAGATTATTGAAATACAAATAGGCAGGGGTGGAGCGGGACTTCATTTCGGGACTGGAAAATAAATTTTACCGGCCCATTAGTTCGTCAACTGATTGCTTTAGGGGCTAATATATAGACATAAATTTAAAAAAAATTAAACTTTGATCTATCAAATAGTTCATAAAATTCACAAATACATTTTTTATTTTAATATTTATAAATATAATCATATATATATACTAATGTCATAAATTAGTATACTTTTATAAATATAATTTATAAGAGTAATTAAAAAAAATGTTTTAGATTTTTCACAAACTTTATTTATTATCATATTATTATCTAAACTACAGAGAATTTTTTTTTTTCAATGGCCATCCACGTGAATGACCCAAATGTTCATTTGTCATTGAATTTCTTAAACATATTTTAAAGTAGAAAATGACCTTTCAACAGATCACTTGGGTTACCGGCAAAGTTAGTAAATACTAATAAGCAATGGATAAAGTATACCCTACTAGCATTAGAATAAAGATTGTACTTTACCAATGCAGTGTAACAATAAATGCTACAGTTTTTACATATTTTATATGTTTTTGATATGTCTTTATCTTCATTTTCATTTTCTGTGTCACTGTTTAAGTACAAGTACAGTTCTTTAGTATATTCGTCATCTACAGATTTCTTTCCAATATTTTGAAAAACTTGAAATTTCTTGAGATAGTTTATTTTTTATTTCATTTTTATTGTCTTCGTCCAAATATGGTTTTAATTTTGTAGCTAATTTAGAGAAAGCATTTTTAGGTAGTCCATTCACAAATGAATCAAAATTAATTAATTAGATGATAATAATGTTAAATCAACAAGTATTTCTTTATTATTTGTAAATCGGTTTTCCATACTAATTATAATTGTATCAAATACTCTGTTGTATACATCAACGGTAAACTTTTTTTTCAACATTCCAAATAGTATCATCATGATTTGATTCTACTGTATTATTATTGCCTGCAGCTTGATCTATTTTAAATAAAAATAAATTTTACATGAGTATTGTACAATTTTTATTAATTATTTTAAATAATAAACAATAATTTACTTATTACAATATATAAAAATTACTTATTTATTTATTTTAATTTTAATTAACCAATAGAAAAACATTAACTATTTACCGGCTGCATGAAATAATGAATTAATCTTTGTGCAATTTTGAGCAGACTTGAGAAGTAATTTTTTTTTTTTTTAATAGCGTTCTTTTTCTGCGCTTCCTTTTCTTTTTTTCATCGTGTGTGGATTATTCATGATGGAAAAATAAATTGTAGAAATAGGTAAATTGTTGTGCGTCGTCGTGCAGAGAAAAAAATTAAACAAGTAACAATGGATATTATTATGGAAAACAGTGCTTATAATGATTTAAGAATTGTGGTATTCCAATGTTTATCGTTAACGTTAATCGTTTATCGTGACAACTGATATTCTTATAATGTAGATACATATTTACAACTTAGGAATATACGATTCAATTCTATAGTTAGAATTTAAAACAGAGGCGATAGATAAGAACAAGCGTAAATCGAACACTCGAGTGTCTGAAAAAGTGGAAATACCACACCTGAAAATAATAATTATTGACATTCAATATTTTATTTACATGTTTTCATGATATCAAATTATCTAATAGTCTGATGTTAATTTATTAGTATTTATAAATCATCATAATAATTAATTAATACAATAACATCACGTACTTAAAGATTATAACAAGAAGTTTTATTTGTAATAATGATCATTACATTTTATTTGAAATGTTGAACAATTGATCGCCAATTAATATTATATTGTTATTTAAATTTTTTTTTTTAATTTTTAATTATTGTCGCATTCCGGCCCATCTGGAAAATTCCAGATTTCCAGATGGGCCACTCCGCCTCTACAAATAGGTATGTCTATTATAAAGTCATTGGCATGTTGTTCATATTATATTTTCGGACTTGTCTGACGTCCCCCTCCCATCACGTTAACGGTAAAATGAGCCGCTGAGTCGGTAATCTAATAAGACCATGCCGACTAACTCTACTCTGGTAAAAACTGATAAAACGGCATAGGAGGCAAGTGAGTACGCTGATGGTACGAGGGCGCTTTGGAGCGAAAAATACAAATGTCATGAAAATAACCCGTGCATGGACATCTACACAAGGGCGCTGCATTTTTATTAGCATTAGCACGTGTTGAAAAAACGAAAAAAAAGCCATACGGCTCGTGCAGTAAGTAGGTAGGTATATTACGAATGATATAATATTGTTTAGCGCAAGGTGTGCGTGCATATGTCTAATTGAGACGCGTAAATTTGCCAAGGGGAAAGGATTGAGTAGTCGCGGCGGTGGTGTAATATTATAATGTAGTGTGCGGTAGTGTCGCGCGCGCAACGGGGAAATCCTGTGAAAGGTGTCTACACGCGCGCGAACCACTCGCCGAACTCAGTCAGTTGTCGGCTGACCGACGGGGACGATTGTTGCACCGTTGCGCTTCGACGCTCGTCCGGTTTCAATAACGATCGCGCGCGTCCACGTGGTTCTCGCGTAAATCCGAATTGGAGACGAACACCACCGCCAACGGACGGAAAATGCGAATCGCGTATTGAACATAACAATGCTGACGAACGTCATAATTAGTGACGGCGATAATAAACGAACGATACGTTTTTAAATCCACGCGTCGTCTACGTTTTTCGTTTTTCCGTCACTACCCCCGTCGAATACGATCGTTTTCCGATTACGTTACGCGTTTCCCTTCTTATTACTCTCGTCGCCTTCCCACACGGACCATGTTGCGTGACTAACAAACTATTAATATTTCGTTTACCGTACACGGTAAACGTTGTCGACCGAGTGGTTTCCCGAAGAATTTTGAAACGGTTTTCAATTCAACGAAACGGTGTTCGCTGCGCCATGATCGCACTCCAGACGAAATTACGCGGATGTGCCGTCGGTGGCATGCCGAAAGCGGTCGACAGGCCAGCGCGCATGACATCACGACGATAACGGTCTGAAAAACGTATTCCTCTGGTAATCGTCAATGAACGCAACTGTTTGAATCGTTCTACCAAAGCTCTGAGAATCACGACACGGGTAAGGTAACAAAATCTGTTTGTAAACTTTAACCATTATGGTACAACGTATTTTCCGTGCTACATTGTACCGCGGAATACAGCTGGATTATTACTAGACCACCGTACGTACTATACGCGGAAAAACATTCGTACATTGTTTTTTTCTCAATCACCTGTCATATTATGCGTTACTTTTCTATTTTATCTGCTTCGAGTCAAACGTTTCGTTGCGTTCGGATTCTAAATCGTTACGGTAATAACGGTAAAATACGTTTTGAATTGCTCGAACGAAACGCGTCATAAAGTACGTAGGTATACCGCATTAAAACTGCAGTGATACGATACATTTAAAAGTTAAATCGGCTATGTTCTAAAGTTTCAAACTATTTTTTTTAATTTTTTTTTTTTTTTTTTTAAATAACAATGAATACTTCAATAGAAATAATAATAATAATAATAATAATTAAAAAAACTTATTTTTTTTAATTATAAATGTTAAAAATTTACGTACACTTAATGTATCTCATATAAAAGCATTTGAATTCATTATAAACCTGAATAATCAACTATTATTGTTAATTGTGAAAATAAATGCCGAATGTATATAATCCATTTAAAGTTTTTTGATTCATCAGAATTATTTTTTCTTCTATTTTTCTATTATACGTACTAAAAAATATATTAATATGTGTAAATTATTGAAAAATATAATTTTATCATACTAAGTGAAGCTTGATTTTGATTAATGTCAATAAGATGGAAATTTGATAAATAAAAATGTATTTATCATTAGGTTAATGGAACATTTTATATTTTTCAATTTTAAACAATTAGGTACCTAAATAGTTGTCAATAAAAATATTCGAGTATATTATGTTATTGGAAAACGTGTGTTCTGAAAATCAGAATACATCGAAAAGTCAACAGTTTTCTCGTATTGTTCAGAATATATAATTAATTCAATATTAAAATTAATCCATGCTGAAATATTTTCAGTTAATTAATAGATTTTCGTTGATAAAAATATATATTTTTAGTTAGTATATAAATTATCAATCAAAAAAATTGAAAAATTTCTTTATAATCTAATACTATTCTTACTCGTTAATAAAAAAATTAAATAAAATGTTGAAAATAATTTTAAATATACTACATTCATAATTTCACCATTTATTGTTGCTTCGACTAATTAAACGCTGAGATTTAGTTTTTCCAATTAAATTTATTGATGGTAGCAGGCCGGAAGTAGGGGGGCCAAAGAGGCCTCGTCTCCAGGGTCTAGTGTTATGTGGTTTCCAGACAAAAATCAAGAATTCTAAATATCATTGTCACAAAAAATTAAATAATTAAAAAATAATAATATCATAAAATATTAAATAATTTAGTATGTTTTTATTGTAATGTACAGTATTACACTATTATCACGGAATAAAGAAATGACAGATATTACAATGTGTATCTCGATTTTTGATGGTTAAGTTTAATAAGCGATAGAAATATCAATAGTTTTGTTATTATGAATACGAGTTATTTAAGTAATCTATACAATCCCTGACAATTAATAAAAATACGTGATTACTGATAATATGTTATTATTTTAAATTATGATTATTGGTACGTCTTATGAGTTTTATATTTTTTTTGTGTCGGCACTTGTGAGTTGTTATATCAAACGACAAGAGTATTCATAATGCACATATATTAGATACATATAAACATTTAAGAATATTATTATTACCAATTACCTGTACGGTCTGTACGAATTAGCGAGTTTTAATTATTTATTTCATATTTTTTAATTAAAATTTATTGATTTCTGCATTGCCAAAGATCAGTAGATATTTTAATAGTAGTAATTATGATTTATTACCAAGTAAGTAGTTTTAAGCAATACTTATTATATTACGAAATGGGACAATTCGCCGTGGCCATTTCGCTATGGTCGAAAAATTTTGTATAAACTCAAATATTATATGTTATATTATTATTGATATTATTGGATTTTCTTTATTTATCTTATTTAAAAATGTATAGACATCGCCCATAGCCTTCGAATACAACTTTATTGGGAGGGTAAATAGAAATGGTATAGGTAAATGCCACACAAGTTTTCCACCTGATATTTGGAACCATGGGTGCCGCGAGAGAGATGTAAATGGATATACTTGCACCCTTGGATTTTAATAAAAAAATAAAAAAATAAAAATGTAGAATAGAGGCTAATTATTATGTACTGAAATCTCTTTTAAAATTTAGTACATAGGTGATGGTATAAAATCTTTTTTTTTGTATCATAAAACTAACTATCCGTATTAAAAATATATAACATAAATACAAAAATTTAAAAATCAACACGATGGAGAATATCCACTGACTGATCAATCAGGGTCAAATTAGTTTTTTAATTAAATTAATTAGATCAATCTCCGAATATTGCTGTAATGTTTATGACAAAGGCAAAATAAAAGAAAAAATTCCCGATGTTTGCGACATCTGTAGTACCAATTGGAAATGACGAGGATTCTCACGAAAGTTTTAAGTTTTTAAGAGAAAAGACTTTGATTTGATATAGATGAGAAATAAAATGGTTGACAAATGAATTGTTATTATAATTTGGAATGAAATTAAAAATAATAATTTTTGGTTAGTTGTTCAACAATTAATACTTTGAAGTATTTGTTATTTTATATTGAATTGTAATTGTATAGTAAATCATGTGGCAGCTGAGAATGTAAAACTGAGAATGATGAACTTCAAAGCTTGTATGGTTGGTATGAATTCGAAATGACTTGGTGCACCTCCGATTTATATACCACAAGCCCGAATCGATCCTAATTAAAATTTGTCAAATATTAATTTTTTATGAATTAATAGTTTGGATTTAAATATAGGATGAAACATTTAAAATCGGTTACCAAATATTTAATGTTCGAAGATTTTCAAGTATGATACCTTGATATTTAACCTGATACATAGAAAAAATATAGGCATTTAACAGTTGAAGCGAGGAACAATTATTTTTTCTAAGTATGAAAAGTGTATAAAATAGTTGTTTTGCATTTTTTTAAATGTTCCACCTTGTTATGAATGTTTTTATTAAATCTAGAAGATTATTAAGAGCAATTTCTGTTTGTAAAATGTCTTTGATGGAGGCTTATATCGATGTTATGTCTGCATAAGTTGCTATTATAGTTGTGTTCTGTTTAAGAATTATTGGATGTATTAATGTATTAAATAAATCCGTTATGTTTAGTTGTTCGATTTGTTATTTGTAAGTATAATAAAGATAAAATGAGTTGCATGTTTTAAAAATCTTTATTGAAGCCAATGATAAAATCATCACAAAAAAAGAACGGCAATGGTAAAATTAAAATATTTTTTAAGAATTTTGGTATTTAAATATTTGGTAAATACTATTACCGTTTTAGTTTTTTTATATATATTTTTTGATTAAATGCTATTCTCAGTTTTTTTTTGTTTGTTTTTCGTCATTCAACGTTTTAATCGTTTTCTTGTATCTATTTCCTTATGCACTATTAGTTTTAACGTTGGTATATCAAAGTATAAGTATACTTTACTTCTTCACCTAAAATACGGTCTGCCATCTGTGATATTTTAAATTATAAGAAAGTAAAAAAAATGTGTGTCATCGTCGTCATAAGTATTATAAATTCACTTGTTGATGCACTAGTGAAATGATTAAGCATAGACGTTTTAATATAATATTTCAATACCAGTAATTTTCTCAAAAAAATATTCAGAGTTATAAAGATATTTACACATGATTATAAGATTTTCTTCAATCGAATTTCATACATGGACGTCGGTCGGTCTGAAGCATAAATTATTTGATTTTTATTTGCTTAGTTTGTACAATCTACATTCCAATAAAATTTTCTATCCATTTAAATTGCTCCTATATAATCACGGACGTGAATGTTAATAGAACAAACAAGTGTATGTACAATGCAGTCTATATTTAGTGATATTTTTCCTCATAATTAGCTTGTACACTTTTGAAATTACCATTCATAATCTGCCATTATAATCTTGTAACTAATGACGGATTGATGTTTAAAATATATATTCATGAAATAATCGTATAATTATACCAAATATAATTTATCTGCATGAATTGTAAGGTAATCTTCTCTCGTGTCGATTGGAATCGATGTTTTGTCTATGTTTTCTATACTTTCGCAACATAAAAATAATTAAGTTATACTTTATTTTTGACGTATCGGTTGATTTCTTATAATAATATGATACAGGTTTTAAAAAGTATTTTCACAAAAACTATTCAAGATTAAATCTTATACACGTTTAACATATTTATTTTTGCGTTTAGCTAAATAAAAATTGATTATGATATTTCTTTAGCTTAAAATGTTAGAAATTCATTTTGTTTTAATTTTTAAGTAAAAAGTCGATAAGATAAAAATGTAAATATCAAGTACATTTCTCCGCAAAAGAAACTTGCTATTGTTTAAAATATAATTCACAGAGGGATCAATAAAAATTATAATTCTTAGAATACCTAAAAAAGGACATATCAAAATATTTTAACTATAATTATAGCGTCCATTAACAAATATGTAATTATTACTTTTTGATTAGTCTTTTTTTAATTACTTATATATTTTAACCTAACGTAACATAAATTATGCTATTTTAGTACTTAATAATTGATTTTTTTCCTTAAAATGTTTTTCAAAAATATACTTTTATTCTTTTTTGTTGTTTATTAAGAATAATATTTAATTATAACTTATAATATAGTATACATGTACAAATGGTATCTACAATTTTTTTTTATTTTATAATGTGTTATCTACGTTAGTGTATTTTATTATCAAATTATTTAATACAATTTTAGTTGTAAAGTATTACACACGGCAATAGACAATCCCCTGTTCATTATTTTATCGTCTGTTACCTTATTTGTTCATAATTTAGCCCTAAGAATCTATTCATGGTAAATCCAAAGCGCTTTTGTTTAAACATAAATATACTTAAAAATTAAT